CCATGCCAAAGCAACCCCAACTGCACACACCCACACCCTGCACAGCCCCACACCGACCACATGGTTTCCTCACCCGCACCACCCCCGAGGAGCGCACACTCCACTTCAGCCGCAGCTTCCCGCCCGCCCTGCCACTGCCGGCAGCCCCCTCACCGACGGGGCCTTACAGCTCGCCTCCCACCGACGGACTGGCCGGGCCTCTCCCGCCCTGCCCCTGGCCCACCGCAGCCCCTGGCCCCGGCCCGCCTCACCTTGCCGTTGGTGGGGGGCTCCTGGATGTAGATGTTGCTCATGGTCGAGAAAGGAAGGTGCCGGCAGGTCACCCACCGCCCAGCCTCCACGCGCGGCTACGCTTCGCCTCCAGCGCTTCTTCCAGTTTGAAGACTTTACCCCTCATCCTATCACTACATGCTGTTGCAAGCCTCTCTTACAAGTAATGCCATTAACTTTGTTATGAGATCATTAAAAAGATGTTCATTAAAAAGATGTTCAAGGCAAGGCTGGATGTGGCCTTGAGCAACCTGCTCTAGTGGGAGGTGTCCCTGCCCATGGCAGGGGGGTTGGAACTCGATGATCTTTGAGGTCCCTTCCAACCCTAACCATTCTATGATTCTAAAAAAATTAAGAACCTAAGATACACTCGAGAACAGAGGAAATTAGGCGCTTCAAGGGCTGCTCTGTGTTATGCATCCAGGCAGCACACGTCGTGCCTCGGCTCAGGTAGTGTCTGTAAGGACTATATCACCTCAAACCGACTTTATCCAAACCACCACCACCCGCACAGGTATGGTGGTATGCATGTTCTCCTCACCTATGTCCCCCCACCCCCTGCGACACACCTTTCCTTCACAACCTCCCCCCACACACCCACACCCTGCACAGCCCCACACCGACCACATGGTTTCCTCACCCGCACCACCCCCGAGGAGCGCACACTCCACTTCAGCCGCAGCTTCCCGCCCGCCCTGCCACTGCCGGCAGCCCCCTCACCGACGGGGCCTTACAGCTCGCCTCCCACCGACGGACTGGCCGGGCCTCTCCCGCCCTGCCCCTGGCCCACCGCAGCCCCTGGCCCCGGCCCGCCTCACCTTGCCGTTGGTGGGGGGCTCCTGGATGTAGATGTTGCTCATGGTCGAGAAAGGAAGGTGCCGGCAGGTCACCCACCGCCCAGCCTCCACGCGCGGCTACGCTTCGCCTCCAGCGCTTCCTACTGCCCCGAACCTCCCGCCATCTTGGGCGCCTCTACGCAGCTTGGGGAGGCGGTTGCCCGAGCCAGGAGGAAGAACGAAGGGATTAGTCCTCGTTAGGACTTTCTACGGGTGTCAATAAGCAAGACATCGCTTTCGAAAAGACCTCGATTTTCTTCAGGCACCTACATCTCCACTCCGTCGTTCCCGCCCGGTACTGAAGTTCCCCGC